GAATAGTTTCAGTGAAGTCAGACGTGTACATTAATGCCATGCCTGAATGCAAACCTTTGCAACCCTGGTGCATTCTGGGGAATGTGGCTTGCCAAAACTTTACTAAAATTGTACTTTGAGGAAGCGATTGCTTTAAATTATTTTCATTCCTGTTAAACACGTTCAATAAGCTACACGAGGATGCGTGTACTGTTTCTCTGGTGAAATTCTAAATATTTCTCTGGTTATATTAATATGTACTTGAAATATTTTTCATGGTCTGTGAAGATTGGTGTCTTCTTTCAAGGCTCTCTGCTGAAAAATATCTTGACCTAGAAGTTGTGTGTTTCTGAAACTTTTGAGTGCATTCCAGTAGTCGAGGAAAAAATCCAGCAACTTACAGTGTTCCAGCAATTATATTAGAAAACAAAACCAAAGATTATGGCATCTTTTTCAAGATTTCTGAAGTACATAATATGAGTTAGTTTTTTCACATTTCCACATTTAAGAAAAAGGTTGGTTTCAGTTTCAGAAAAACTTAAAACATAAAAATAGTAATGAAATAGTCTTTACGTCTTGGGAGTGATGCATTTCATCTGACTACTGATGTGTGGCATTAGCAATGTTTTTATTTAGAGTGTAGCTCTTTATCTTGTTATTTTTGTACACAAACGAGCATATCTATAAATATATAATAGGGAATCAAAATAGAGGAAACAGCACTGGATATTCACTGGCTTTTAAAATATATTATTTAATATACATTAATGGTAATTTAATTCTTTTAAATTGCAATATTACCATTTAATGGTTGAATTTGATCTGTTGAGGTTATTTTAGATTCCAAAATGTTTTGATGAGGATATGTGAATGCCTAGCAAAAACATTGTTTTCTGAATCTAAAACAAATGCTACAATCTTTAAATTTGGTTGCTTTCTTTATCTTTCAAAGCATCTAATTTGATTGTCTAAACCTATTTTTTTTTTTTTTTTAGTTTTTGCTGTAATCTTAACGTCCACTTGGAAATGCTATTTAGTTTCATTCTCAGTATCTGTTGTAATGAACTGCAGAGGTTCAACATTCAATCAGCCTGATATTATCACCTAAAAATCAAGAAATCTGAGATTTTATTGATTTTTAAAGTTCTGTCAGTTCTCTATATATTTTCCAAATATATACCTGAAAGGGTTTGCAAATGGTAGCCCATGTTTTTGTTATTCTGGGGAACATTTCTGAAATCAAATTGCTGGACCAAGGTAGTATTTTAATATGTCATTAAGCAATATGTTGTTGTTCATGTTATATCTTCAGCACTGAGATGTTCTCTATCATTTTATTTCACAGGGTAAGAAATATAAAATGTATTAGGGTCATGTGTGAGTTATGTATGCTATCTTGCTTCTGAGTCTGTGTAAAAAGCAGCTTTATTAGTATTGCAAAGAGCAGAATAATAGTAAAACTCAAAATGAGAAAATACCGTCTTCTGTACACTTCTTCAGTATGTGTGATGGGCATATCTGCAATGAAATATTTGTTTTCTCCCTCTCTTATTTCCTCTTGAGAGGGAGAACAAGACAGAAGGACGTCTGCTATGATAAAATTTCTATTTCTTTTGTAGAACTGGAGCCCATCTCTAGCAGAGTGCTTGTTTGCATCCAGAGCTGTTGGCTGTCATGTTAGAGGCACTCCTAAGCATGGTCTCTTAGCACAGGTGCAGTGGTTAAGGTTCAAGTGCAGAAAATACTTCATGCACTGAGACTGGGAAATACAAAATGCTGTAGGACTGCAGGTCTGTGCACAAAGCTGTGCAAATATGAGAGTGAAGAGCAGAAGGGTAACTTGTATGAGCGGGTTTTTATAGGTTCTTTTTTCAGTTAGGTAAATTCCTGAGAAACCTAAACACTTAATCTATTATAAAAATCTATAAAAAATCTATAAAAATCTATAAATCTATAAATATTATATATACACGCATATATAATCCTCCTGGGAGAGGATTGGTTGGAAAGCTGCCTGGCGGAGAAGGACCTGGGAGTATTGGTGGATAGTTGGCTGAGTATGAGCCAGCAGTGTGCTCAGGTGGCCAAGAAGGCCAACACCATCCTGGCTTGTATAAGAAGCAGTGTGGCCAGCAGGGCTAGAGAAGTGATTGTCCCCCTGTACTCGGCTCTGGTGAGGCCGCACCTCAAGTCCTGTGTTCAGTTTTGGGCCCCTCGCTACAAGAAGGACATGGAGGTGCTTGAGCGGGTCCAGAGAAGGGCGACGAAGCTGGTGAGGGGCCTGGAGAGCAAGTCCTACGAGGAGCACCTGAGGGAGCTGGGCTTGTTCAGCCTGGAGAAGAGGAGGCTCAGGGGTGACCTTATTGCTCTTTACAGATACCTTAAAGGAGGCTGTAGCGAGGTGGGGGTTGGTCTGTTCTCCCACATGCCTGGCAACAGGACGAGGGGGAATGGGCTTAAGTTGCGCCAGGGGAGTTTTAGACTGGATGTTAGGAAGAACTTCTTTACCGAAAGGGTTGTTAGACACTGGAACAGGCTGCCCAGGGAAGTGGTGGAGTCACCATCCCTGGAAGTCTTTAAAAGACGTTTAGATGTAGAGCTTAGGGATATGGTTTAGTGGGGACTGTTAGCGTTAGGTCAGAGGTTGGATTCGATGATTTTGAGGTCTCTTCCAACCTAGAAATTCTGTGATTCTGTGATATATACATGTAAATATATATATATATATATATAATCTATTTTCCTGTCCTTGCAACAGTTTATTTGACAGACTGATACAATCAAAATGGCATCTTAACAAACTATCTGTACACCTGAAATATTAGCGATGAAGGGCATATTCAGAAAGGCTAAATTTAGTCTTACTCTGCAGTTACTAGAAACAGTTTCTTCTAGGTCGTGGTTCAGAGAGAGAAGTGGATTTGACCCTATAAATAATATTTTGTTGTGGGATTAACTTCTCTTCAGATTAAAAATAACCATTTTAAATAGTCCCATAGATAGGAGAGAATTTAGCATCTTGCTACTATCAGTGGTTTCCAACAACCACTTTGTATTAAGTACCATAGAAGTTACAGTACTTACTATAGCACCTTAGAAGCAGTTGTATCACAGGCTGCTGCTTTATTCATCTGGTACCTGGCTGAGAGTAGTCTTCCTTTGGGCATTTTGTCATCCTTGTGGCCCTTCACTGGACTCAGTCACTGCTGTTTAATTGGGTGCTGGGAGCAAGGAACTGGGAAATAACTCCTGTGCTGTGTGGGACTGTGTGTTTTCTGTTTTTCAGTTTCTGTAGTAGAAACTTTTCCGTTCTCATGCATTTTCTGTGCCTCAAAGCGATGTGTGTAACCACAGGACTGGAGCTTCTTCTATTACTTTGCTTTCTTTGAATTTATTGTGGGGTTCCTATGAGGTGTTGAGACCATACCAAATGTGATAAATGGGCTTTGTTATGTACAAAATCTTATGGGCACTGCCTGTGCTCACTGCCTCTGGGCCTGGCCCGCAGCACCGCTGAGCAGAGCCTGGCTCCATTCTCTGTGTACCGTGCCTTCAGGGATTTGTAGGCATTGGTGAGATCCCCCTGAGCCTTTCCTTCTTCAGGCTGAGCAGTCCCTGCTCTTCCAGCCCTTTTGCATGTTGGTGACACTACGCTGAGCTCTTTTGGGTATGCCCAGGTCTGTCTTGTACTGAGGGGCCCAGCACAGGACTCCAGGTGTGGCTGCCCCAGTGCAGAACAGAGGAGAAGGAACCCCTCCCTCCACCTGCAGGCAGCACTGATGGTTGTAATGCTCACAGGATGCTGTAAAATGGAGGAGGCTGATACGCTATGGTGGAAATAATTCATGTCATAGGATCAATTACAAGTAATGGTAAGCATTATTGATATGATAGATGCCACAATAGCTACTTTGCTTTTTTAACATCAGCATTCTTAGGTTCAATTCCAATAGTTGATAGCAGGTTTTCTTTCTTTCTTTCTTTTTTTTTTTTTTTTTTTTTTTTTTTAAGTAAATCTGACATGTTTATATAATGATAAAAAACAGAAGGGGAAAGAACAAAAACAAAAACCATAAAGATTTAGGAGCAAAAAGCAAGAAGAAAAAAGATAGCTCCATCATTATTATTACATTGGAATGCAGATTTTGTGAAAGGCCTTATTAATGATTTCATAACGTTGCAAAGTCTGCTTATTAATGTTATCTGCAATGCAGATACTTGAATCAACAGAAGTAAACCTGCTGTCATTAGCTAGTTATTATTTAGATCTGATGAAACATGATGATTCTTCTAAGTGCAAATAAACTGTAGCCAGCAAGTAACTAGCCAAATATGTGAGGTAGGGTAGCAAGGAAATGACTCACAGGAGTGGGAAGTGATACTGGAGAAATACCAACACTTATTAGAAGAAAAATAAACAAGATGCCATTTCTTACTGTTACAAATACATTTGAGGGCAAACCACTAGGCCCTGAGTGGATAATGGTGATACTGCTTTTTGTTTGTTTGTTTTAACTATCTTGCTTTGCTGGAACATCTGTCTGAGGTGAACTCTGAGCCTTTGATACATCAGGTTTGCCAGTGGTTATGGCTGCATCTGTGACTGCTAAAATTAGCTACAGCTGGGCTGGCTGGAACTTGACAGTAGCCAACTCTCAGCAATTTGGCTTCTATGCTGCCTTTGCCTTTTAGTGGAGCAGTCTGGGCTAGAAACAAGTACCCCTTAGGTAAAATAACCTTTTCTGATATGAGTTGGGGGGGGGGGGGGGGGGAAGAAACAGAAAATAACTTCCTGAAGGACACTTGTCAACTGTAGTTGAGTTACAGTGATTTTGAATGTCAACTGATTAACACCTTAATTAAAATAATTTCCTTTTTGTAGCCAGAAGATTTGCATTAATACAGAAGAATATGATAATGTAGAAGATCAATTTAAAACCTATTTCAGTCAGTCTAGGTTGGGATAGATGCTTTTGTAACTGATTTTGTCAGAGAAAATCGGGACCACAGACATCCTTTCGTAGATGTATGCGGAAGTTATCTTCATGCATCATTTTTCTCCCCATTAGCTCTAAAAATAAGGGAGATACAGGTGTTGTGGGTTCTGTTAATGGTATCACCTTAAAACTAGTGGAAAGAATCCTTGCCAATGGGAAATCGGAGGTATTGCAAGAGAAAAGTTTAGGTAGGTAGAACTAAATCTGCTTTTGGTATCTGTGATTTCACGATTTATGAATAAGGTCCCTTTTCCATTTCATTGTGCATTATATGACTTTCAATATCTCAAAGATCTTATAAAATTTCACCAGATTTCTATTTCCAGTATTTGTGAAAGTGAAAAGTCATTTAAATAATAGATAAGGGTAAGTGCTTTGCATTGAAGGTTTACCAAAACAAGCAAAAACCAAAAGTTTACCAAAACCAGCAAAAAAGGTAGAGCTTCTGCCACTGTCATGTTTTCCTCTCAGCAGCTGTAAGCCTAATAACCAGAAGAAAGCACCTAAGCAGGCACTCAGCTGGCAAGCAATCAGACATCTCTGTGGGTGATGAGAAATGTTCAGCTTCGGCTGCATCTGTTCTGCAGTGGACTGAAATATTCCAAAGGGACTGCATGCTTACCTGTTGGTAAGTGCATGTGATTTGTGGTGCTTCTGTGTGCATACCATTTGCTTCTACATGCATCTTCTTGGAGCAGAACCAAACTGATTCGTTAAGGCAAACTTCTGCATTAAGCAGTTAAACCTAAGCAGTTATTAAACCTACAGTTTAACTGAAGGTTTTTAATGGAATAACACTTAGGTTAAACCTGAGTTTGAAATACTGAGTGTTCACAGCCCATTATAGTTCATCATAAGTTATATTTAGAGCATAAGATGTTCTCATGCTTAGGTTATTCTCTTATTTTTCTAAATGTATTTTTCTACTTTGTTTTGTAATATTTGTTTAAAAACTCCATACTTTATTTTCTGGTGAAAGCTGCTACCTATGTATCAAGAACACATGTTTTCCAACTTTGTTTGCTAACAACTAATCACAGGTTAAATATTGTTTTTTAAAGAAAGCAAATCATTATTATTAAGTTCTTATTTAAATGAAAGCAGTTGTTGAGCCAGGAGAAAAACCTAAGTGAGCTAAAAAGAACAATCCAGGACTAGTGCAGAACCTAAGGAGGGCCCTGAAGCAGAAATTAAAAGCTGGGGTAAGCACTTTTGGCAGTGGTGTGTAGATTGGAAACCTGGAGGACACCTAAGGAAAACAAATACGTAACAGATCCGAGGAGAGTTTTTCGGGTCGTCTTTGCAAATACACTGGATGCTTTAAAAAATGTTTTGTGCAAGGAATATGCTGCTTTTTAGACCAGCAGTGATAAATAATGAATCCCTGTTTCTGTATAATAATAATTTTTTAAAAAAAAGTTTTCTTAGCTTGGGCACAGTGGCATTATGGATAAAAAGGATATGTGCTGCTAATTGTACACTAACACCTCCAGCTATTGATCGAGCTGCTGAATTGGGCCCTTGCTGCAGTGACTCAAATAAACTACTGCAAAGACATCCGTGAGAAAAACACGTGTTGTGTCTTTGAATTTTATGAAAAAAAATATTCAAAAATCATGGATAACAAGTTATTTAATATTACAATTAATTATATTAAAGAGCACAGACTGTCCTCACTTTCTTTCCTGTCTGTCTGTCCCGTAGGGAATTTATTTCCTTTCCTTGTGCTTGTGTTTTCAACCTGTAAAATTTAGATGCTAGTGCTTAGCTTCCTCGAGTAAGGTGCCATGATTTATAGACACTAGAAGTTACCTTCTCTTCCCCCCCCCACCCCTCGCCACCTCCAACTCTTATATAATGATCCTGCATTTGAATTCATACTTCTGTAATTTATTTCTGAATACTGAAATTTTAATAAAATAACCTTATATACCTTTTCTAATAAAATTAATTCAAATTTTTATAAGAAAAAAATAGGAATCTAATGTCTTTGAATTTCATTACTAAGTAAAATACTGTGTCAGTACTTTCACTGATAATACATGCAATGTTATTAAATGGCCACACATTGAAATTCTGTATCAGAGAGCTCATTATTCATCATGCTAAACAGCACTGGCCTTTTTATGCTGCTCTTGTGCATTTCATTTGCCATTTCTATAGACTTATATCATTTACTTTCATTTTTATTTATCTAGTTCTTTCAATCATTCTCATAACTTCCCTTAAATTATCCTCACGTTTTTTAACTAAAAAGTTTTCTTTCAAAAAGCTGTAGTTTTTCGAAACTTAAGAGCACTCAGGCAAATCCATCTGCCAGTTTTTGGTTTTGTTGTTTTTGTTTTTTATATCTTCCTGATAATACATTGGATCAGATACTGGAGATAGAAAATCACTGAAGACGTCCTCATCTCAAATGTTTCACATAATAAGTTTGAACCTCCCCTAAAACCAACCAACCAACCAAAACCCACCACAACAAAACCAAAACACCACACCCTGAGATACAGGCAATTTTAAGTCTTTTCTTTGTACTTCTAATTTCTTGATTGTCCTGAATAAACTCTTCCCTAAAGTCTGTAAAATCTTTTCAGCAGCTATATCATTTCTGGTCTTCGCAAATGACTTCATTAGCGGCTTATGCTTTCCTTTGTTATGACTTACAAATAGTTGTTCCTTCATTGCCTCTGCTTTTTTTTTTTTTTTTTTTTCCCCCATAGTTCCAGTATGCCAGAGTGTCAGAATTTCTATATTGGTCTGATTTAAAACAAACAAACAAACAAAAACATTTTGAAGAAAATACTTTTTTTATTTATATTGCTTTACAATCTGTATAGATGTATTTAGAATCAAGATGGATACTAAGATGGTACATACCATCAGAAAACAGGTGGTTAAGGATTCCCATCTCTATTCAAATATTTCTAGGGTTTTCATTAAGCGTGGGTGCCTTTAATTGCAGAGTCAGGAGCATGAAGAGTATCCTTGTTACTACAGAAATTGGTTGAGTATCTTTTAAAATTGTCTACTAAAGAATTAACTTTATTTTTAGAATTTAGGTACCATGAGAATGTGTAGCTCTACAAATTGATTACTATTTTTATAATAGTTATAAATTTTATTACAGTTTAAGATCTGTGATGTGTTTAGTAAATCAGAAGCTATCAAAGCTGTTGAGTGTAGTGGTTTTGGTCAAGTAGATTTTTAAATTATTTTGATAATGTTCCCAATTACCAATACAGGAGTATTGATTAGGATGTGTATGTAATTTTTTCTCAAAATCTGTGTGCAGACTCTTGTCCAATGCAACCTGAAATGCAACATACCAATTCAGATCTCAGCATCTCTGTGTTGTACCCAGCCATCAGTTCTTTTGTTTTCCAAGGCAGCCAAGAGACTTGCAGAGGTGCAGTGATCTGCCGTGTGGCTGGCATTAGAGCAATCCATTTGATGTTACTTCTTTGAAACAGGAGTTTTTTCTTGGTCATAACTTCTTGCTGCCCTTGGTTCCTGAGTCAGCTACCCTGACCAGCCACCCTGGCTATCTCCTATAGGATTATTTTTTTTTTATCTTCCCTGGCTACTGTTTTCTGTTTTGAATCCTGGAACTTGGAACAATTCATGTTGACAGCCCTTCCTCTGTCATTTTTACCTTCCTATATCTCTCTACAGTCTTTCTCAGTGGCATGAACCACGGCAGGGCAGAGCCAGATGTGGGCCCCCTGGGGCAGCTAAACCTCCCCTGGGGCAGCAGGGGTAGGGGAAGGGGCAGGCTGTGAAGGAAAAGGCAGCTTCCAGTTCCCTGCAGCTTTTACCAAGCGTTGTGCACTCTTTGTCACTCTCCACATAAGCCTGGAGTGAAGCACTGGCTCCTGAGAGCTTAAGTGAATTTCTGTTGTAGTGGTTGTCTGAGAAGCATTAAAATGCTTGGTAGTAGGTATTGAAACTAGTGATTACAAAGCTTTATCGCATCTAGTGTTAACAATTTTATAGTATTATAAATAATGAGCTGTTTGTGGTGGTATGTCTTAATTTCTCATTTTAATGGCTTTTATGTTGCTTATGCTATTTAAAAAAAAAAAAGTAAATTAAACAGTGATTCAGTTGATATAGTTGTATGTGTCTTGCTACCTGTTGCACAAAGCACTTTTATTTCTGGAAAAAAGTTAACCTCTATACTCATAGGACAGAATCATAATTCTGCAAATGTACCAAAGAGGAAAAAAAATGCACAGCATTCTTGTAAAGCCTTTCTGAAGTTGATTAACATTTTATAGAGTTTATTTACAATATGTATAATACAATTTTGCATAACTCAAAAGTGTGCTATTTGATCTTGCAGCATTTATTGAACTAAGAGTTTTTTATAAAATGCATAAACAAATATATCAAACCAATGGTAGTACTCCAGGGTATAAAGTACACAATTTTCTGAGAACTCTGCTCTAAGCTACAACTTCAGATTTTCAACTAATATGATACCAAATACTCAACGAGCCTTTTACAAACAACTTTCACCTTTCAAGCAACTCTCCATTCTGTGGTAGTAAAAAAAAAAAAAAAAAAAAAAAGAAAAAAAAAAAACAAACAACTTATTGAAGTCACGAGGATGGAACTGGTACGGCATAAATAGGCACCATATAAAGATTTGAAAATACTGCTTTCTGGGATGATTGCTGCAGGACAACGCTGTTTGTCCCACAGGACAGAGTGAGTCAGCTGGGAGTCACTTACCATTCCTCTGGAATTTGTGGGTGGTGGAGGGATGGAGAGGGGAATATCATAAAACACATTCCCAAAACAACTAAAATGCAAACAAAGTGCTTAAAGCATGAAACATTTTTTAAAGAAACCCAAGAAAGCTGAGTAGCTGGTTCCTCTGGCATCCCAGTAAGACCAGAGTGCTGAATTCCCTGAGGTCAATGAAATCTCAGCTGTGGAGTGTGTTGCATGGGAGTGCTAGCTGTGTGGTATAGTGGGGAACTGGGTCTCCCCTGTCAGCCATGAAGAGAACAGGTAAAGCATCCTTAGCTGCTGCAAGATGGTGCATACTCAGAATCAAAGAGTGAGCAAACAACTGTGTTTACACTTTATTTTTATTTTATCAATTGTCCTTCTCCTGTTTTACCCCTTTACCAACTGGGACAGATTCTGAAGCAGGAAGAGTGTTCACTCAGACAGAAAAATAATAACTTTACTTGTACTTTTCATTTCTTCCTTTACCGTAATTTTCTTGATTATATATGGTTTGTCTGGTCCTGTTGGGGAGGAGTGGGCTATGCAGAAGGTCTGTGAAAAGAAGCCTGTAGCTCAAGCACATCTACAAAGGCAGTAAACAAAATGCATAAAAGAAATAGAAGTTCAGACTATTTTTTCTTTTTGACAGGCTGTTCCATTTTTTATTTTTATTTTTTTCTTCCTTTATTTAACGGCATGTAATCGTTCCAGCATTGTAACATATGCATGTTATACACAAGTCATCATTGTCATGTAAAAAAGAGAAAAATATCTCCCAATGACTTCTACCACCTCACTGTCTGATGGAACCATTGGCATGTTGATGTTAGGACAAGAGACTGAAGGAATAGAAGGTGACCTTAGAGAAATTCATAAAGCTTGGAAGCATCC